GACTATCAGCAGCATCCTCAATAGTGCATCTAATCATCAAGTTAGTTCCTCCACCATGGGGGACAGTTGGCGACCAGGATAGACCTCATCATCATGCACGCCATTATCAAACAACTCGAGATCATGCAAAGTTGACCAAGACCCGATACTTAGCAGCCTCCGACAAAAGCCTCAAGTCCATAAGTTCAGGAGGAGCCCCACGGCCGCGAAGCTGAGATAGCACATAATGATTTAGCGCATGCCTGAGCAAAGCTTTTAATATCTTCACAGCCTTCCGACATTGCCTAGCCACCTTCGGAGTGATACGAACTAGTTGAAGACGATATTGTAGGATCGATGCGCTGTTCGCGTGGCAAAAACGGAATAGCAGTAGGTAGCCCCAAGGAAAGAGACCTCAGATGCCGCACCCTACGCCAGATCTTTATCATGACTTCTCGGCGCGCCACTGTGCGGGCCGCTGGCCCGACCCAGATCCCGAGTCACAACGCGTGGGTCTCGAATTTGATTGCATGAGACATCGGTTCCCCCTTCCTCCTCGTTTGCTCAGATCGGCGGCGGGCGAGGGGGGGAACTGAGAATGAGGAGGTCTTCTCAGAAGGCGGCGGGACTTCTCAGAAGCCCTCGCGCCTTCTGAGAATGTTGTTTGTCTTTGGGGAAGGCTTAGACAGCTTCTCAGAAGGCAGGGCGACTTCCGAGCCTTCTGAGAAGGCCCGCCCCTTCTCATTTCCCCCCTCGGGCGCGCCGCCAATCCGAGAGACGCGTGCAAGACTGTGCCCCGCAGATGAGCACGCAGCGCTTGTCAATATTCAGCCAGAGACCGATAGCAGAAGGGAGCTGGTCAAACAAAAGAACCGTATGCATCCGATCGACAAGGACATCCTGCAGTCCAAAGCAGCAGTCGTCTGCATGCGCAAGTTCCAAGTCAAGCCTAGGCGTGCGTAGATAGTTGATCCATCTCAGAACCGGGTCCAACGCCAGGGAGAAGAGAGTCATCGGCGAACCATCCCCCTGCCTTCATCCACGCATCAATGGGGACCTAGTCTCAGCAGCCCCCGCGAAATTACCAGTGCAATGTTACTCGGGTGCAGAGAACTATAGAACCCAATAATGGTCTGCGGGATGCCCATGGCCCTGAGAGCCTGGAGAATCCGTGAATAAGACACCAGCTTTATCGAACCCACGAGTAAATTGAAAGAGCCCCCACTTCCCCACCTCAACCACATCATCCAGGATGTTGCGGCCTTGAACGCCCCCTCGCCGCTGCTCCATGACCGCCTGAGGTGCTACTTCCTTGAGCCCGATACAGATAGCGTCCGAAAGGCTTAGCGTCTGTGTCCAGGCAGCCTTGAGACAAACGCGCCTTGATCTGCGGGCTCCTCCCCCTTCGGTGGAACAACCATTCTGCTTATCCTACAGTCCTCAGGAAGAGCAGCACCTTCATTCTTGCAAGCAGTGTCGTAAACGGCAGACAAAACACCAGAAGCTTGAGGACCAGCCCAACATCCATGCACCATGCCATCGGGCCCAGGGGCAGAATGCCGCCTGAAACGAATGCGTTTTTCAAACTCGTCCTGATCAAGGCGCCAGAGGGGTTCGCGAGGCAGTTTGCCAACCGATTGCACATGGGACAAAATTGCAGGCCGGGCTCACGCGACTGATTCTAGCATTCGGGTTCTACGCCATCACGTTCCGCCGTGACGGCGCCCCCGGCGCCAACCATGGGGTTGGCGGGGCGATGGCCATGCTCGCCTTATTCGGACGTCTCGCCACGGAAGCGGACGACGCCCGTCGCCGAATCCCGTTTTGGCTTGGCGCCTTCAACCACCGCTGGGGCCCGGCGTGCCACGACGACGTTTTCGTCTGACCCTGTACTCCGACGCCGTTTGTAGACTGACCGACGGTCTGTTGCCATCTGGGGGCGCCAGCCCTGTGCTACGTGCTGTCTCTCGGCGTCGCTGCCATGACCACCGTCTTCCACGTCCGTCCTCTGTTTGCCCCGTCGGGTGTGCGCCACCTGGCGCATTGCCGCGCAGGGTCAGGACCAATCCGTGCGGGAGATGGCTTGCATCTTCGTGTGAGGGCCCGTGGCTGCGCTCCGCGTGCAGGCTGCGACTAGGAGCCCCGCTTCCTTGCGCACTGAGGCCTTCGCACCTTCTCCGCTTTCGCCCCGCCTAGGTGGGTGTGAGCCCCGTCGTGCTCCGACGGGTGGCAGGGCCCCTGCGCTTCCCATGTTCCTGCCTGGCCCCTTCGCTGGCGGTGCCTCTTCGTGCCGCCAGCGTGGGGCCGGGCGGAGCCGGGGGCGGCCGCGTTCGCGCGGCCGCCCGTTCCCGGTGCTCGTCGCCACTGGGTTCGCGCGGGGGGGCCCCTGCACCCCCCGCTGGGCGGGGCCGCCTGCATGTGTCTTCGCCCCGATTTGTCGTACGCTGCGCGAACACCTGGCAACCTACTGTTCGGTAGACCAGGCACTGGGCCGCCGAGGGGGATGCCCCAAGGCAACGCCTTCTTTGCTCGGGGCTCCGAGGCGCAAGCGCCAGATCTTGTTTCAAGCCGGTGCCCTCTTCTTCTGGGGGTGCAATTAGGGGCGAGTCTCGTTCTCATCGACAACCCCAGCTTTTGCTTTCCAGTCGGGGTCCTTTCGACCGCACCAGGGGGGAGGTGTTATTTGTTGCGACCCTGGCCACATCATGCGGCCCGTCCCGCCCAAACCAGTGGGCCCACCGGGTGCTTGTACCCCGCGGGCCCGGACAGCCCACCCCTGTCCGAATTGGTGTGTTCGCTCTCCCCTCTCCCTCCTGCCTCCCGCCCACCACCTCGCACCCAGTCTCCTCCCCCTCTTGCCCCCCCCCTCAGACCCACGCCGCCGTTTTTTTGCGTGTCACAGCCTGAACCCGGGAGGTCTCGACCGCTGGCTTTTCATCCCGAATTGGTTTCGGACGGCTTTTTTGGCCCGTCAAAGGTGCCCAGGGGCCGAAAACGGCCCAAAACGATCCGTCGTGATTGTCCCCACGCCGCCAAACGGTCTGGGTATTTTCCGCTGCTTCATCGATTCCCCATATATGATATATGAAGAATTCCTCCCTGTCGCACTCCGAGGCTCTGTAGGGCGGGCCGGGCGTTTCGCCAGAGACTATGTCATTGTTTATGATCCTGAAGCGTAAGGTTGGCGTGAGTCTTGGGGATGGAGGGCGGGTGGCTTTCAACATGTATCTCTCGCCTTGAGGCCGCGCGCATTCGTTTTCAAAGCCTGCAATCGCTTCACGGATGGAGGGTGTTTTTTTTCCAGCATGTAATCTTCTCCGTAGCGCCGAGCACATTCGTCCTAACAGTTTGCAGAGGTTTCACGGATGAAAGGCGGGTGGTTTTGAACAAGTGGTTCTCGCGGCAGTGCCGCGCACGTTCGTGTTAAACATTTGCAAGGATTCCGAGGGTGGATGGCGGGCCGTTTTCAAAATGTGATTCGCCTTGGCGCCCCGCGCGTTCGTTTGGCCCCTCGCTGCTGCCCGCCGTCTGGTCCGCATAGCCGGGTCCGCCGCCTTGATCTCGCTGTCGCCGCCCCGTCGCCGCCTCGTCGCCACCCGTCGTCTGGGCCCACGTGCTGTGTCCGCAGCCCTGTTTTGTCGCCGTCGCCGCCTCGTCGCCCCCTTGTCGCCGCCCGTCGTCTGGGCCCACGTGCTGTGTCCGCATTCTTGGTGTCGCCGTCGCCGCCCCGTCGCCACTTTGTGCTACCTTGCTTTGCTCTGCGTTATGTTGCGTTGCATGGTATTAGCTTACGTTGCCTCCTTTGCTTCCTTTGCGCTGCTATGCACTACTTCTTATTGGTTTGCAGTTGCCGTGCTTTGCCCTGCTTTGCATTGCTGTACGTTGCATTGCTTTGCATTGCATTGCTTTGCATTGCTTTGCATTGCTTTGCATTGCTTTACATTGCATTGCTTTACGATGCATTGCTTTACGTTGCGCTGCATTCCTTTCCGTTGCATTTCTTAGCATTGCTTGGCATTGTTTTGCGCTGCTTTTCAAATATTTGCATTCCTTTTGCGTTGCCTTGCATCGCTTTGCTTTGCTTTGCATTGCCTCGCATTGCTTTATCCAGAACTCGCGCTCTCGCGTGGTATTCCTTGCAGTTCTTCAGACGCCGCGTCCTCGACACTCAGGAATCACGCTCTCGCCCTGGACTTCCTGATTACTGACTTGGGAATCGATGTATCGCTAGAGACCTCGCCATCGCTAGAGGCATTGCTCTGCACGGATTTGCATTGCTTTGCTTTGCTTTGCATTCCTCTGCATTTCTTCGCGTTCCCTTGCATGGATCCCCGTTGCGTTGCTTTGCTTCGCGTTGCTTCGCATTGCTTTGTATTGCTTTGCATTCCTTTGCGCTGCTTTGCACTGCTTTGCATTGGCGTTGCGTTGCTTTGCGTCTTATCGCTGCGTTGCATGGCTTTTCATTTATGTGCATTGCGTTTTACTGCTTTGCATTGCTTTTCATTGCTTTGTACTGCTTTGTGTTGCTTTGCGTTGTTCTGACTTGCTTTGCGTTGCTCTCCTTTGCTTTGCATTGCGTTGCACTGCTTTTCATTGCGTTGCATTACTGCTCTGCGTTGCTTTGCACTGCTTTGAATTGCTTTGCTTAGCATTGCAATGTGTTAGTTTTGCACCGCTTTGCATTACTTCGTATTGCTTTGCATTGCTACGCATTGCTTTGTGTTGCTTTGCATTGCTTTGCATTCCTTTGCATTGCTTTGCATTGCTTAGCATTGCTCTGTGCCGCATAGACTGCATCACATGGATTGCACCACCTCGATTGCACAACCCAGATTGCACAACCTAGATTGCACCGCATAGGTTGTAAATCAATTGCTGTTTGGGGTCCACGCTGGCTAACATTTCACGGATGGAAGACGGAGCTTTCTCAAAACGTGGCTCTCGCCTTAGCGCCGAGCGTCTTGAGTTTGTTTTGGTCCCTCCCTTCCTCCTCCACTCGCCCCGTCTCCTTTGCTCCCGAGGCTCCGGCCAGAAGAAAGAGCACACGAAGTCCGCGTCAGACGCGAAGTTCCACATTAAGGAGATGAACCAGACGGACCTCTACGTCAACTTCCGGGCTGGCGGCCTGCTGGGCTCTTGATGAAGGGTTGGGTTAGAAGAAGGGGATGGGTGAGACGGGTTGAGGATGAGCAGAATGAGGACGAGGATGAGCATGTGAAGGAGGATGATGATGATGGTGATGGCGATGACGATGATGACGATGATGATTATGACGATGCTGATTATGATGATGATGATTATGATGATGAGGATGAGGAGCAAGGGTGAAGATGATGGTAAGGATGTTGCTGCTGCTGCTGACGACGATGACCAATGGTGATGATGGAGATGATGATGATATCATTTATGGTGATGGTGTGATGGTGGTAATGGTGGTTGTGATGATGATGGTGATGATGATGACGATGACGATGATGATGCTGATGATTATGATTACCCCAGTGCGACCCTACCTAGAAGTTGGAGCCCCTAGGAAAGCAGCATTAGTTGCTATGCTATGCTATGCTATGCTATGCTGCGCTATGCTATGCTATGCTATGCTATGCTATGTTAAGCTATGCTATGTAATGCTGCGCTGTGCTATGCTAAGCTATGCTATGCTATGCTATGCTAAGCTGCGGTATGCTATGCTATGCTATGCTATGCTATGCTGCGCTATGCTATGCTATGCTGCGCTATGCTATGCTATGCTTGGCTATGTTATGTTATGCTATGCTATGCTAATGCAGCGCTGTGTGGCAGGGCCTCTGGACTTGAGCCGAAATGGTTACGGAAGGCACTGCTTGCGGGGGCTCCGGTCCGGCCATCGAGGCTAGCTCGGCATCTGTCGCACATTGCTTTTGCTTTGCCTTTCCTTTGCTTTGCTTTTGCTTTTGCTTTTGCTTTGCTTTGCTTTGCGTTGCTTGTGCTTTGCTTTGCTGTCGCTGCTGTTGCTTTGCCTTTGCTTTGCTGCTATGCTCTGCTCTGCTATTCTATGCTATGCCATGCTGCGCTGTGCTATGCTGTGCTGTGCTGCGCTATGCTATGCTATGCTATGCTGCGCTATGCTATGCTATGCTGGGCTATGCTATGATATGCTATGCTGCGCTATGCTATGCTACGCTATGCTGTGCTCTGCTATGCTAAAGCTCAGCGAAGCTAAGATGAAGGTAAGCTAAGCTAATATAAACCTCAGCTAAGATGAAGCTACGCTAAGCTAAGATGAAGCTACGCTACGCTAAGATGAGATGAGCAACGCTAAGCTAAGGGGACGTAGCTGGGGGAACCGCGGGGCGGATACTTGGGGAACCGCCCGGGCCTGTTCCCACTGCCCGGCCTTTTAAGCCAAGAGGGTAAGAACCCTTCCGTGCAGTTCCTAGGTAGGGAATAACATAAACCTGAGCTAAGATGAAGCTAAGCTAAGCTAAGACGAAATGAGCTAAGCTCAGATGAGATCAGCATAGCGAAGCTAAGGGGACGTACCTGGGGGAATCGCGGGGCGGATACTGGGGGAACCGCCCGGGGTTCTTTCCACTGTCCGGCCACTTTAAGCCCAGAGAGTAAGAACCCTTCCAGGCAGAGCCTAGGTAGGGAATAATGATAGGTGTAGACGACGATGATGACGACTGTGATGATGATGATGATGATGATGATGATGATGCTGGTAATACTGATGCTGATGCTGACGAGGAAAGTGATGGTGCTGCTGATGATACATGGTTGATGATTTTAGTAATGCTGATTTCGATGCTGCTGCTGATGATGAGGCTGATAATACTGATGCAGATGGTGATGGCAGTGGTGGTGATGATGGTGCTGATGATGATGATGATGATGCTGATGCTGATGATGATGTTCGTGATGATGATGATGATGATGGTGATGATGGTGATGATGAGGCTGATGATGCTGATGCTGATGATAATGATTATGCATGGTGATGGTGGTGGTGGTGGTGGTGGCTGAGATGATGGTGATGATGCTGATGATGATACCGATGCTGATGATGCCGATGACGATGCCGATGACGATGATGCTGCTGAGGATGATGATAATGATAGGTGTAGGCGATGTTGATGCTGCTGATGATGATGGAGATGATGATGATGATGATGATGATGATGATGATGATGATGATGATGATGATGATGATGATGACACTGATGATGTTGACGATGATGATGGTGATGATGCTGATGATGATGCTGATGATGACGATGCTGCTGATGATGGGGACGATGCTGATGCTGATGATGTTGATGATGGTACTGATGATGCTGATGCTGATGATGATGCTGGAGCTGATTATGATGCCGATTATGCTGATGATGCGCATGCTGATGACGATGCTAATGATGATGCTGATGCTGATGATGCTGGTGATGATGATGCTGATGATGATGCTGATTGTAGTACTGATTATGATGCTGCTGCTGATAATGATGGTGATGATGATTATGATGATGACGATGATGCTGATGCACATTGTGATGACAGTGGTGGTGATGATGCTGATGATGATGCTGATGCTGATGCTGATGATGCGGATGCACATTGTGATGGCAGTGGTGGTGATGATGCTGATGCTGATGCTGATGCTGATGCTGATGCTGATGCTGATGCTGATGATGATGACCTTTTTTGCTGATGATGCTGCTCATGATGATGCTGATGATGATGCTGATGATGATGACGATGATGATTTGAAAATGATGTTGGTGACGATGATCAAGGAGCTGAACGTGAGGTGGATGATTACGAGGAGGAGGAGGAGGAGGAGGACGAGGAGAGGTGGTACAATTGAGGAGGATCATGAGGAGGAGGACGAGGATGATGAGGAGGAGAAGGAGGAGGAGGCATCAGGAGGAAGAGGAGGACGAGGACGAGGAAGAGGAGGAGGAGGAGGAGGAGGATAGAGGATACTTACGACGACGAGAACGACGGGGAAGAGTGAGAAGGACGAGGCAGGAGGACGACGACGAAGGACTGCCAAGTACGCTGTAGGCGTTCAGGGCGCCAACGCCCATCTTTAAGGATGAGGCGACCCTTAAAGTTCAATGATCATCGACCGTTTGGAAGTCTCATCCTGGAAATCTTGAGTGTGTGTGGTGCGATAGGTACTCGCATGGGAAAAGGCCTGGTCGTATGCGAACGCGCCCCACACAATGCGGAACGTTCGTGCTCCACGCTCTGGTTGATGAGCCCTCTGGTGTGGTCAGCACGCCGAATTGTCCAGCGGACACTTGCGTGCTTGCATGCGTTCCTCAAATGTATTTGCGAGTGCGGTGTCCAACGCCCCCTCCTCCTACTTCCTCTCATCCCGCCCCTCGAGAGAGATACAAAAAGAACGACGCGGTCGCTGGGAGGCTGCAGCGGGCCTCCGGGGAGGGCAGAATACCACCCATGGGGCCGGTGTGACAGCAGTATACCCACACGCGTACATGTAACCAAACATCTCTGCGGGGACCTCGGTCGGTATGGCCCCCCAGCCCCGAAGAGTGAACCGATCCGTAGATTGCGCAAACGGGCGCAGGATGGGACGAAACATGCTTCCCACAGACCGCAAACGACCCAGTGTAAGGGGAGAAGAGGCCAGAGACGGGGAGACGCTCAAGGCAAAAGTGCGGGTCAACTTCCGAGTTGGGGTGTTGACCTCTTGGCAAGCCTGTCCCAAGAATGCGTTGTGCCATTGGACGGGAAACCGCGTCTTGGCGTGCATTTCTTACCCAAAGAAAACGAAGCGCCAGTTTCAGATAGGCGCCACCCTTGCCGCATAAAAACAGAACACCATGGAAGTAGTTCGCTATGTGCAATATGTGCCCCCTGGGGTTGACAACCGGAGCAGAGAGGGCTGCATTGTACCCGCGGCAAGGCGCCGCGTTGGACGCAGGCTTACGGTCGCTCGTGACAGAGCACAAACAGCGCTGGCACTCCCAGCGGGTGCGACGCCAAGTCCACACATGCCCTTCTGGGTTCGCTGGAGCAGCTGCCGAAGATTCCGCTTCGGGCGGGGCAGGGAGCGGTGAGAGTGAGGGCGGGGTCAGGGGCGGTGGGCACGCGGGCGCCTGGCAGGCAGCCCCAATGCCCGTTTTGAATCCCGGTGCTGGTAGCCGCGGGTTCACAGTGGCACGCGTGGCTTTGGAGGGGACGAGCCTCGGGTATACAAGTGACGCCCGGACTGCGTACAGGAGATATCGCCTCAAGGAGGCGCGTTCGTCAACCAATGCCAGCACAAACCTAGTCGAACTCATTGCAGACAACGGTAGCACTGTGCGGTCCCACACCAGAGGACGAGTACACAAGGGGCTGGCAGACACCACAAGTCACCGTCCCGAGATGGCGAGACCGGCTTCTGAACGAAAGTTGCGGCCACGACAATGAAGGAGGAAGAGAAGAAGGAGGAGGAGGAGGAGGAGGAGGAGGAGGAGGGGGGGTGGCGAGGAATGACGAGAAATACGAGGGATGTGGGCGAGGGAGAGAGGGGAGGAAAAGGAGAAAAAAGACCTGTGTAAACCCAAAACGCATCAAACATGTTGCAATACAAGTCTCTTCTGATAGCCGCGCCCCCTACAAAGATGTACTCTGACTGCTGGAGAATGCTCAAGCGCCGGAGAATGCTCAATCGTGCCAAATCACCACTCCTTGGACTTCAACGCAGCGGCTCAACTTCACTAATTCGTCCTGACGGTCCTGCATCTAGCCACAACATCTTTTCTGGGACTTCAACACCGCGAACCAATGCGACTGCTGCGCCCATGACAACCCTGTATACTGCCGCAGGCATCCGTTAAGCGATCGTCAACATGTAAACGCGTGTCCGTCGCATTTTGAGAAGGAGGCGTCCCCCATCGGTGAAGATCTTGCTAACTTTTACGACGAATGTGCGCGGCGCTGAGGCGAGGGTCACATGTTGAAACCTACCTGGCTTCCATCCGTGAAGCTCTTGCGAACCTTTAAGACAAATGAGCGCGGCGCTAAAGGCGAGGGCCGTATTCTGCATAGGGACAGCACTCCAGCCTTGAAACAATTGCAAACTTCGAGACGCATGTGCGCGGCGCTGAGGCGAGAACCGCATTTTTCAAGCGCCCCGTCCTCCGTCCGTGAAGCGCCTGCAAATGGTTCAGACGATTGTGCGCGACGCCAACGCGAGAGCTACCTCTTGAAAACGAGCCGCCCTCCACCCGTGAAGCCCCCTTGCAGACTTTGAAACGAATGTGCGCGGCGCTCAGGCGGGAACCACATTTTGAAGACCACCCGCCCTCCACTTTTCATCCGTGAAACCCTTGCGATTTTTAAGACGAGCGTGCGCGGCGCTAATGCGAGGGCCTCATCTTGGAAAGGAACCGCCTTCCATCCATGGAACGCTTGCAAACTTTGACAACGAATGTGCGCGGTCTGAAGGCGATATCCACATTTTGAAAGCCGCCCTCCATCGGCGGACCGCCTGCAGTTCTCTAAGACAAACGTGCGCGGCGCTGAGACGAGATGTCGGCGGTGCGCCGTGGCACGAACCCCCCCCCCCAGCACTACCGGGGGGTTTCGTGCACTACCGGGGGGTTTCGTGCAGCCCGCACCGGGTGCCGCCAGCGGCTTAGAACACCCCCCCCTTGCCGCTTTACCGGGGGGTTTCGTGCAGGCCGCACTGCGTCTACCTGGGCTCCCCCCCCCCCCTGTGGGAGTGGGGGGGTGGGAGTGGGGGGTGGGTTGGGGGGGGGGCAGGGGGGCGGTTGGGAAGGGTGGCTCCCTGTCGAAGTGTGGCGTGTGCTCGCCTTGTGTTCTCTATTCGCGTCTGCTCGCCTTTGTTCCGCCGCAGCCTCTCGTATTGTGGCTCGTGGTCACAATACGAGAGGCTGCGGCGCAAATCCCGAGAGCCGCTGTGGGGGGTCGACGGCACGGCCGCGTAGAGAAGAACAGTGCCGCCGTGTTCCGGCACGGCCCTGGGATGCAATGCCGCCGCCGTGTTCCGGCCCGTCCTGGTAAGATTCGCGCGTCGGGGCTGGGTTTCGCGCGTGCTGGGAGCGCGCCGCTTACGGAGGGGTTGCGTCCTTACCGGGGGGTTTCGTGCAGCCTACCAGAGGAGGTCGTGTTTACCGGGGGGTTTCGTGCAGGCTCGCACCGGGAATGGCGCCAGCTCGAAACCCCCGAGGAGAGATTACCGGGGGGGGGGTTCGCTCCGCACCAGGCACCGCCGACATATATGCGTTCTCCATCCGTGAAGCTCTGGGGAACAATTGTGATGGTGCGCGGCGCCACAGCGAAAACCACATTTGAAAACCGCTTGCCCTCCATCCATGATTTCGCTGCAATGTTTAAGCCTCAGGATCATCCAGGGCGAGGAAATCTCAGGCGAAACGCCCGGCCTGCCCTACTGACGCGCCTCGGGGTGCGGCAGGGAGGAGCTATCCATATTTGCAGAGAAGGGATGGAGGAGGCGGAGGAAGATGATGAGGATGGGGGAGTGGGAGAAGGTGCAGGCGGCAAAGGATTGCGCACGAGGAGGGGAGGGATTACGTGACGAACATGAGTAGAACGAAGGCTGGGGGCAAGAACGGCAGTAGTAGTAGTAGTAGTAGTAGTAGTAGTAGTAGTAGTAGTAATAGTAGTAGTAGTAGTAGTCGTAGTAGTAGTACTAGTAGTAGTAGTAGTAGTCGTCGTAGTAGTCGTAGTCGTAGTCGTAGTCGTAGTAGTAGTAGTAGTAGCAGTAGTAGTAGTAGTAGTAGTAGTAGTAGTAGTAGTAGTAGTAGTAGTAGTAGTAGTAGTAGTAGTAGTAGTAGTAGTAGTAGTATAGTAGTAGTAGTAGTAGTAGTAGTAGTAGTAGTAGTAGTAGTAGTAGTAGTAGTAGTAGTAGTAGTAGTAATCGTAGTCGTCGTCGTGTAGTAGTAGTAGTCGTAGTAGTAGTAGTAGTAGTAGTAGTAGTAGTAGTAGTAGTAGTAGTAGTAGTAGTAGGAGTAGTGTTAGTAGTAGTAGTAGTAGTAGTTAATTAGTTAGTTAGTTAGTTAGTTAGTAGTAGTAGTAGTAGTAGTAGTAGTAGTAGTAGTAGTAGTAGTCGTAGTAGTAGTAGTAGTAGTAGTAGTAGTAGTAGTAGTAGTAGTAGTAGTAGTAGTACTAGTAGTCGTAGTAGTAGTAGTAGTAGTAGTAGTAGTACTAGTAGTAGTAGTAGTAGTAGTAGTAGTAGTAGTAGTAGTCTTAGTTGTAGGAGTGGTCGTAGGATCGCAGCAACAGCTTGACAATAACTGATGCCAGAATGGACATTGAGAAAATATCGTGTGGAGAACATGTCCACCTCAAGAGTTGTAGCCATCATCCGTCAACTTCGCCAACAATCTTCATGGATCGAGTTCGACTCCGAGTAAACCTGCCTCGGCTCCCTGGGAAATTCCAAGAATATGCCGTGGAGGGAAGAGTGAGCTCCCGCAGACGCGGCCGTGTCGGGGCAGGCTTGCTGGGCATCACGGGCTGCGCCATCGCAATGCATGCCGACGCTGTCCCTCCGATCCTCCCCGCACTCGCCCGACGCGGCGGCGTGCGGGGCCTCCTCACCAGGGGTGGTGGCGGCACCGGTGGCGTGGCTGCAGCCCGCGGCGCCTCAGGAGGGGGAAGCACAGGCAGCCGCACCTCCACGGCCGGCGCCGCCTGCGTCCCAAACTGCGGGAGCATCGGCGTCCGCTCTTGAGTTAGCACCAGGGCCCCTTCCTTGTTCGGCCCCGCATTCTGGCCAGCCCTCCTCCTCCCCCAAAGCGGCTCTGGAAAGCCCAGCTGTTTCTTGCGGTTTCGCCAGGCCCGCTTCTTCTTGGCGTTGTTTTTCTTATTGCGCAGCTTTTGGGCACACAGGCCCTTCTCCTTAATGGGAGCAAGCGCTTGAAAAATGATCCCCCTTCGGGGCTTCAAAATACAGGAGTTAGGCAGACTACTTAAATCCAGTCGCCAAAACTGTTTTTTAACGTGCCCGCCCCCCCCTCCTCGGCAATTTTCCAGTCATCGCGTTCAAACTGATTTTCTGTTCGTTTCCTCTGCGCTCGTTTGTCCCTCCTCGGCGCTGCAGACGCACAGCGTCGGCGCTGTATTTTCGCAGCTGCAGGATGGAGGATGGAAGGGAGGAGGAGGAGGAGGAGGAGGAGGCGGATGTGGAGGAGGATAGTGCGGGGAGGAGGGCAGGAGTGAGGAGAGGGGAGGGACTTGAGGTGCAGGAGGAGGAGGAGGAGGTTGAAGAGGAGAAGGAGGATGAGGAGAAGAGGAGGAGGATGAGGAGGAGGCGGAAGAGGAGGAGGAGGTGCTGATCTGCTGATTTTGATGCTGATGATGCTGATGCTGATGATGCTGATGCTGATGCGGATGATGATGCTGATGATGATGAATATTATGATGATGCGGATGATTATGATGATGTTGCTGATGATGATGATGACGACGATGATGAAGATGATGATGATGATGATGATGATGATGATGATGATGATGATGATGATGATGATGATGATGATGGTGATGGTGATGGTGATGGTGATGGTGATGATGATGCTGATGATGGTGATGGTGATGATGATGATGATGATGATGGTGGTGGTGGATGTGTTGGTGAGGTGAGGTGATACTGCTAATTATTATGATGATGCTGTTGATGATGATGCTGATGATGCTGATGCTGATGATGATGAGGAGGAGACGGGGGAGGAAGAGGAGTGGAGGAAGAGGAGGAGCAGGAGGAGAATGGGGGAGGATGGGGCAGGAGGAAGAGAAGGAGGAGGAGGAGGAGGAGGAGGAGGAGGAGGAGGAGGAGGGAGGAGGAGGAGGAGGAGGAGGAGGAGGAGGAGGAGGAGGAGGAGGAAAGGAGGAGGAAGCGGAGGAGGAAAGAGGAGGAGGAGGAGGGAGGAGAGGAGGGGAGGAGGGGGCTGGTGAGAAGGAGGAGGAGGAGGAGGGAGAGTGGGAGGAGAATGATGATGATGAGAAGGAGGAGGAGGAGGAAGCGGAAGAGGAGGAGGAGGAGGAGGAGGAGGAGAAGAAGTAGGATGAGGAGGAGGAGGAGGAAAGGAGGAGGAGGAGGAGGAACATGAGGAGGTATGAAAGCCCCTGGCTGCCCTTGCCTTCCGCTCTGTGGACTCTGCTCCAAAGCACGTGCTCAAACACCTTCCCCTCATACCTCATGCTTGGTCGGTTGCGGCTCCTGCAACAGGTTACCTTCGGCATCGGCGCTGGCACATCCACGGTCGAAGCCTGTCTCACCCCAGCCCGACCCCGCCAGCTTAATCCTGGCGGATCCGGGCCCCGTGCCTGGGGATTGGATAGCCACTGCCTGTTTCGAGCGGAGACCTCCCAGGAGTTTCTTCCTCCTGTTTCCGACATCTCTCGGCCCGTCTGGCATCCTCGCTCCGTGTTCGCAGGCCCACCCCTTCCCCGCGGCCATCGCGCGACTGACGACGCTGACGACGACGACAACGGAGACGACGACCACGACGGCGGCGACGACGAGGACGACGAGGACGTCGAGGACGTTCGACGACGATGACGACGACGACAACGACGATGACGACGGTGACGACGACGACAAGACGACGACGACGACGTTCGACGACGACGACGACGACGACGACGACGGCAACAACGGCGACGGCGGCGACGACGACGACGACGGACGTTCGACGACGTTCGACGACGGCGACGCTAACGGCCCGTCTGGCCCCAGCCTCCCAAGGTCTGCAGTACGGGCCCCGGTTCAGGTGCCTCCAGGCCAACCGCTGTGGGTGAAACATGAGGAGGGGGAGGAGGAAGGATGGTCGGGGTGCAGGAGACTGAGGATGATCGAGAGGGAGGAGGAGGTTCGACAGGGATCGAGTGGAAGGAGGAGGAGGATGAGGAGGATGACGATGAGGAGAAGGACGAGGGGGAGGAGAAGATGAGAGAGACGGAGAAGGTTCGAGGAGGATCGAGGATGAGGATGATTATGATAATGATGATCCTGATGATCCTGATGTTCCTGATGCTGCTCATGATGATAATGATGATGGTGATGATGATGATGATGCTGAGGATGATGATGACGATGGTGCTGATGATGCTGATGATGATACTGATGATGCTGATGATGGTGATGATGGTGATGCTGATTATGATGGCAATGATGATGCTGATACTGATGATGATGATGATGATGATGATGATGATGATGATGATGATGATGATGATGATGCGAGTGATGATGATGATGATGATGCTGACGATGCTTATGATGATGATGATGATGATGATGATGATGATGGTGGTGCTGATGATGATGATACTGATGATGACGATGATGCTTATGCTGATGTTGATGCTGCTGATGATGATGATGAGGCTCATGATGATGATGCTGTTGTCAATTCTTGATCATGGTGATGCTGCTGATGATGATGATGATGCTGGTGATGGTGGTGATGATGATGATGATGATGATGATGAGGATGTTGCAACTGATGATGATGCTGATGATGATGCTGATGATGCTGCTTCTGCTGATGATGATGATGCTGATGATGATGATGATGATGATGATGATGATGATACTGCTGCTGCTGATGATGCTGATGATGATGCTGATGATGATGATGATGATGATGATGATGATGATGATGATGATGATGATGATGCTGATGATGATGATGATGATGATGATGATGATGAGGAGGAGGAGGAGGAGGAGGAGAGGAGGAGGAGGATGAGGAGGAGGAGGAGGAGGATCAGGGGGAAAGGGGAGAAGGACGAGATTTGAGGAGGTGGATGATGAGGAGGAGGAGGAGGAGCAGGAGGCGGACGAGGAGGAGGAGGCGGAGGAGGATTGGGAGTTGGAGACGGAGGAGGGAGAGGAGGATGAGGAAGAGGAGAAGGAGGAAGAGGAGAGGAGAAGAGGAGGAAGAGAAGGCGGAGCAGGAAGAGGAGGAATAGGAGGAAGATCATGAGGAGGATGAGGAGAGGAGGAGCAGGGGGAGGAGGAGGAGCAGGAGGAGGAGGAGGAGGAGGAGGAGGAGGAGGAGGAGGAGGAGAAGGGGGAGGGGGAGGAGGGAGACGAGGAGGAGGAGGCGGAGGAGGAGGAGAAGGAGGAAAAGGCGGAGGAGGAGGATGAGGAGGGGGATACTGGTGATGATAATGCTGATGATGACGATGATGCTGGTGATGCTGATGCTGATGAGGATACTGATGATGATGCTGATGATCATGATATTTCTGATGCTGATCCTGCTGATGATGATAGTGAGGAGGCTGACGGTGATGATGATAGTGACGATGCTGATGCTGATACTGATGATGATGCTGATGACGATGATGACGATGCTGATGATGCTGATGCTGCTGCTGCTGATGATCATGATGCTGCTGCTCGTGATTGTGCTGCTGATATTGATGAATGTGATGATGCCGCTGCTTTTGCTGATGGTACCGATGTTGATGATGGCGATTGTGGTGAGTTTGACGATGCTGCTGCTGATTCTGCTGCTGGTGACGATGAGGATGCTGATGCTGGCGGTGCCGATGGAGATGAAGATGTTGCTGATGATGCTGATGATGCTGATGATGGCGATAACGATTATGAGGATGATGATGATGCTGATGGTGATGCTGATGATGATTCTGATGAGGATGCTGATGATGATGCTGCTGATGATGATGACAATGCGGACGCTACTAATAGTATTGCTACTGTTGATGATGATGCTGATGATGCTGATGATGATGATGCTGATCATGATGAGGATCGCGATGCTGATGATGATCAATATGATGCTGATACTGCTGATTATGAGGATGATGATCCTGATGCTGGTGATGCTGATCATCGTGCTGGATCATCGTGCTGATGTGAATGCTGATCATGATGCTGGTGACGCTGATGCTGCTGGTGATGATGCCGAAACTGATGACGATGCGTCTGATGATATCAGGAGGCAGACTTTAGGCGGAGGAGGAGGATGGCCGAGGAGGAGGACGACGATGACGAGGGGATATTGCGACGATGCTGGTGGTGCTGCTGCTGATAATGGGACGGCCGACACGGTTGAGACGGATGAGGAGGATGAGAAGGAAGCAGTTGAGTGTTGTGATGTTGTGGATGTTGATGCTAACGATGACCATTATGATGATGTTGATGATGATGCTGATGATCATGACGATCTTGATGATGACGATTTCGATGATGCTGCTGGTGATGGTGCTGCTGATAACGATGCTGATAATGATGATGACATTGCTGATGATGATGCTGATGCGGCTGATGATGATGACGATGCTGATGATGATGACGATGCTGGTGGTGATGATAATGCTGACGATGCTGAGGATGATGATGCTGCTGATGTTGATGCTGAGTATTGTGATGGTGATGGTGATGTTGACGATACTGCCGATGCTGATGCTGATGCCGATGCTGAGGATGATTACGGTGTGGCTGCTGATTATGATGATGGTGTGATGAGGGTGTTGTTGCTGTTGCTGCTGATGGTGACGACGATGATGCTGCTGCTGATGATGCTGCTGCTGATGATGATGATGAGGAGGATGAGGAGGAGGAGGTGGAGGTGGCTCGAAGGTGGGGTGGATGACGATGGGGAGGATGAGGAGGATGATGAGGAGGAGGAGAAGGAGGATGAGGAGGAGAAGGATGATATCGAAGAGGAGACGGATACATTTCGAGGAGGATCGAAGAGGGTGAGGAGGAGGAGGAGGAGGATGGGGAGGAAGAGGAGGAGGAGGGGGAGGAGGAGGAGGAGGAGCAGGAGGAGGAGGAGGGGTGGAGAAAACGGAGGATCTAGGATGATCGGGGAAGAGAAGGAGGAGGAGGAGGAGTATGAGGATAGGAGGAGGAGGAGGAGGAGGAGGAGGAGGGGGAGGAGGAGGAGGAGGAGGACGAGAAGAAGGATAAGCAGGACCAGGATCGAGGAGGATGCGGATCAGGAGATTGTGATGAGGATGATGCTGATTCTGGTGGTGGTGATGACGATGAGGATGATGATGATGGTGGTGATGATGATGACGATGCGGAGGAGGAGGAGGAGGAGGAGGAGGCGTATGACCAGTGTCATACCAAGACTCACCAATGAGGTTGCAATACACCCTCCCTCCAAGTTTCTTCTTCATAGGCTCCTACAAGGGTTCTCGTTCACTGACGGACGTGCCCCGTTAGTAATCAACCATTCGAAAATCATCAACTCTGCCAGAACACCGTTCCTGGGACCTCACCATCGCGAATCACCTTACCATTTCGTCCCGACGATCTGGGGCCGTGCCAGAAAACCATCCCTGGGACTACAGCACCACGCATCAACGCAACTGTTGCGCCCTGATTGTCCGACATCGTGTCTGTACATTGCTTATGGTACGTTTACCATGAGAACCCTTGAGCCAGTGGGGCACTCTTAAGCGAATGTGCGCCGCGCGAAGACGAGAGCCACATGTCGAAATCGCTCCAATGATTATCCCTAAAGCTCTCTTAAAAACAGGATGTGCGCGGCGCTAAGGCCAGAGCCACATGTTGAACTCGCTCCGATCTCCACCCGTGAAGCTCGCACACGTCTTAAGTTGAATGTTTCGCGGCGCTCAGGCGAGAGTCACATTTTGAAAACCGCCCGCCCTCCATCGGTGAATCTCTTCTTATCTGTTCACAGCGCATGTGCGCGGCTCCAAGGCGAGAACCTGTCCCAGGGAGGGGGAGATTTCTATAAGGACAACGGATTGAGGAGGGGGGGGGGGGGAGGAGGACGAGGAGGAGGAGAAGGGGGGGCAGGCAGGATGACGGGGGCGATGCAACAGGCTTGAGAACGAGGAGGGCAGAGGAGGAGGAGGAGGCAGAGGAGGAGGAGCGGGAGGAGGCGAATCTGGATGTTGATGCGTATGATGAGGGATGATGAGGGGTGATGGTGATGACGATGAAGATGCTGATGCTAGTGACGATGCCCATGCCGATAACGATGCCGATGATGATGATGATGATGATGATGATGATGATGATGATGCTGTTGATAATGATGATGACCATGCCGATGATGAGGATACTGATGATCATGGTGATGATGAGGCTGATGACGATGATGGTGATTCCCATGCTGATGAAGGTGAGGATGTTGATGCTCATGCTGATGCTGATAATGATGAAGATGATGCGGATGACGATTGTGATGCTGATGACGATGCCGATGACGACGACAAGTATGATGATGAGATGATGCTGATGTTGATGATGAAACCGATGATGATGATGCCCATGCTGATGATGCTGCCGATGCTGACGATGATTATGATGCATCTGATGGCGACGATGATGACGATGCTGATGGTGACGATGATCATGATGATGCTGATGATGCTGATGCTGATGACGATGGTGACGATGATGATGATGGTTATCATGATGATGATGATGATGATGATGATGATGCTGATGCTGATGATGATGATTATGATGATGATGATGATGATGATGGTGGTGGTGACGATGATGCTGACAATGATGATGAGGATGACGACGATGACGACGCCGAGGACTACGGCAACGATGATGGCGATGACCATGACGATGATGCTGGTGTTGATGATGTTGGTAATGCTGATAACAGTGATGACGATGACGATGATGATGCTGGTGATGATGCGGCGGATTCTGCTGATCATGCTTACGATGGTGCTACAAATTATGATGCTGATGATGACGAGTCTGATTCTGATGATGCTGATGATGATGATGAGGATGCTGATGCTGGTGCTGATGCTGCTGCTGATGCTGCTGATGCTGCTGATGGTGCTGATGACGATGCTGCTGCTGATTATGATGGTGACGATGCTGATGATGCTGCTGATGATGATGGTACTCATGCTGCTGCTGCTGCTGCTGCGGATGCCGTGGCTGATGATGTTGGTGATGATGCGGTTGATGATGACGATGCGGATGTTGATGATGCTGATGTTAATGATGTTGATGATGCTGTTGCTGCTGATGATGCTGATACTGATGCTGATGGTGGTGAGTATGCTGATGATGATGCGAATGATGGTGATGAGGATACTTATATTGATGAGTATGCTAATGATGATGGTGCTGGTGACAATTATGATGATGTGGATGGTGATGTCGATACTCATGATGTTGTTGATGTTGATGGTGACTAAGCTGTTGATGATGGCGATGATGATGCTGCTGAGGATGATGCTGCTGATGCGGATGCTGATGTTGATGATGAAGACGATGATGATGATGCTGATGCTGATGATTATGATCGTAATGCTGCTGACGATGATGTTGATGTTGCTGATGATGATTATGCTGCTGACGGTGCTGCTGCTCATGATGATGCTGCTGATGATCATGATGATTGTTGTGGTGGTGCTGTTGCTGCTGATGATGATGCTGTTCATGACGGTGTTAATGATACCGATCATGTTGATGCTGCTGCTGATGATGATGATTATGCGGCTGCTGCTGATGATGGTGTTGACGATGCTGATGCTGATGATTATGATGATCATGATGATCATGATGATTATGATGATTATGCCGATGATGATACTGATGATGTAGTGATGATGTAATGATGACGATGGCGCTGCTGCTGATGATGATGATGATGCTGCTGCTGCTGATGATAATGATGCTGATGATGATGATGATGAGGATGATGATGATGATGATATTGATGATGATGATGATGATGATGATGATGATGATGATGATGATGATGATCATGATGATGATGATGATGATGATGGTGATGATGATGGTGATGCTGCTGCTGCTGATGATGAAGAGGAGGGTGACGAGCGTTCTGGCCGTGCTGGTGGTGGTGGTGGCTGTGGTGATGGCGATGATGCTGATGATGGGAGGAGGAGGGGGGGCAGGAGGACGAGGAGGAGGAGGTGGCAGACGAGGAGGAGGAAGATCGTGAGGAGGAGGAGCAGGGGGGGGGGGGGACGAGGAGGGGGGAAGAGGAGGAGGAGGAGGAGGAGGAGGAGGAGGAGAGGAGGGGAGGAGTGAGGAGGAGGAGGAGGGAGGAGTGGGGCAGGATGGGGGGAGAGGAGGAGGAGGATGAGGAGGAGGAGGAGGAAGACGAGGAGGGAGGCGGAGGAAAGGAGGAGGAAGAGGCCTAAGGAGGAGGAGGAGGATATGGAGGAGGAGGAGGGAAGGAGGAGGAGAGGAGGAGGAGGGAGGAGAAGGAGCAGCATCAGCATGAGCAGGAACACGAGGAGGGAGGAGGAGGAGCACGAGGGGGACGAGGCGGAGCAGGAGGAGGAGGAGGAGGTAAGAGGAGAGGAAAAAGGAGGAGCGGACGGAGGAGGAGGAGGAGGAAGAGGAGGGGGAGGGGAAGCAGCAGGGGAGGAGAGGAAGAGGAGAGGGGAAATCAAGGAGGAGGCGGAGGAGGAGGAGGGAGGAGGGAGGAGGAGGAGGAGGAGGAGGAGGAGGGGGGAGGCGAAGGAGGAGAAGGAGGAGGAGGAGGAGAAGGAGGAGCAGGCGGAGGAGGAGTAGGGGGCAGCATGCAGAGGAGGAGGAGGAGGAGGAGGAGGAGGAGGAGGAGGAGGAGAGGAAGGGGAGGCGGAGGAGGAGGAGGAGGAGAAGGAGGAGGATGGGGAGGAGCAGGAGGAGCAGGAGGAGGAGGAAGATGAGCAGCAGGGGAGAAGAAGAGAGGAGGAGGAGGAGGAGGAGGAGGAGGAGGAGGGAGGAGGAGGAGGAGGAGGAGGGCGACGACGCAGGGCTACGGCTTCGAGTCGTCGAAGGGCCGCGGCGCTTTCGCGGTGCTTCAAGTGTCCGAGGAGGCCCAGGACTCTCCGTAGGGGTCGGGGGCGCCGTGCGGCCACGACGACGGCGTCCTCCTCCTCCTCCTTTTCCTTCTCTTCCTCCTCCTCCTCTTCCTCCTCTTCCTTCTCCTTTCTCTTCTCCTCCTCCTCCTCCTCGTCCTCCTCCTCCTTCTCCTCCTTCTCATCTCTCCTTCCTCTCCTTCTCCTTCTCCTCGTCGTCGTCGTCCTCCTCCTCCTCAAAACTTCTTCTCCTCCTCCTCTCCTCCTCTCCTCCTCTCCTCCTCCTCCTCCTCCTCCTCCTCCTCCTCGATCCACCTCTTCTATACTCGAGGTACGAGGTTTTGCGCCCTTCTGCCCCTGCTGTAGCCTTGGGGGTCTCTCTCCTCCTTGTCCTTTCTCCCGTCTCCCGTGTCCTCCTCCTCCTGCTTCTGCTCCTCCTCCTCCTCCTCCTCCTCCTCCTCCTCCTCCTCCTCCTCCTCCTCCACCTCCACCTCGTCCTCCTTCTTTGCCTTCTCCCGCTCCATCCGACCTCTCCCCCCCCATCCAGAGGACTGGGAGACTGAGCTCGCCTGGAATCCGGGGATCCTGGACGGGATGCTCCAGGCGACGATCGCGATCAACTGAGCCCGCAGGGAGACCTGGCCCAGCGCCTCCTCCCCCCCTCCTGCTCCGCCTGCTCACGCTCCTCGCGCTGCTTCCGCTCCCATTCGTCTCCCTGCTGCTCCTCCTCTTCGTCCTCCTCCTCCTCCTCCTCCTCCTCATCCTCATCCTCCTCATCCTCCTGCTCCTCCTCCCCCCTTCCCTGTCTGGGGGACGCCATCTGACCACCTCACCCATCCCCTACCAGGCGGATCCTTGGCTGGCTGGGGCTCCGTCTGGACCGGGCTCGGCCGGGCCAGAGGCGGACGGTGCTCCAACCCCGGCCGCCTGCAGAGGCCCCTGGCCGGCCTTCCGCCGGCCCTCGGGAGGCCGAAGAGAGCCAGAGACGCTCGAGGACCTCGGTCCACCACCTTCGATCCTCGCACCTCGAGCATCCCCTGCTCTCTTGGCGTGCCAATGCTTTTTGGCCGGGCGTTTCCGCCTTTTTTCGGGCTCTGGGGCCCTCGCAGATCGATCCGGCCCAAGGAATGACGCAGAAAGATGGGGTCTAGGGCTCCAGGCGCGTTTTTTTTGTTCACGATGTTGCATTTTTTTTCGCTACGTCGGATCTCAGGGTCCGCCTGCTCCTCTTCGCTTTTCTCATTTTCTGACTTTCGGGGTCCTCCCGTTCGTCTGGACGCGGCTCGGACAAGTTGCCAGGATGAATCCTTGGGAGGGTTTTGCGGACCGGTTTTTAGCGGACGTCGGCCGTAGCTCCCGGTCCCCGGCGTCAACGAAAATTTTAGCGGCATTTTTTTCCATCGATTTCGGCCCCCCCCCTCTCTCCATTTTTTCCCTCCCCACATGTGCTCAGCGCACCCAGCATAGCCGCTGTAGTAATTTCGGCCACCGCGGTGGAACCGACGCGACGGCCACCTCCCCTGGCCGCGATGGGCCTCCAGAGGTTTCGAGAGACCCGAACGAGTAAGAAACTCTGGAGATCCTTGCCTCGATCCTGGAACCCCGATCCTCCTCCTCCCCCTCCTCCTCCCGAAGACTAGCACCCCATGCTGGTATCGGCCTCATATTCTCCTCGATGCGAGGCCCAGGGAGTGTTGAAATGAGTATCGAAACATGGACGGGTGGGATAACGCGTGGGGATCTATCTCAAGCTTCGGTCTGACCGTCCGTGCTCGCAGCGCAAACGCCCTGTACATGACCTGACCTTGCTCCCTAGCCAGTTGGCTCCGTGTCAATTCGCCGATTCGAGTAGGGGCGCGTTCTGTACGGTCAGACCTAGGACAGAAGAGAACATCATTCAAGAACATGCGACCGTCCGCCAGCCAAACTGAAGAATATTCGAGGGCACCCTTTCCCAGGGTGCACAAGAACATCCCGCAATACACTACACACATGAGGGTACTCTCCCTCAACCGACCTCGATCTTAGACCTTCATCCGACCGTGCCCGCGGACCTGATCCTCCTCCACCTCCTCCTGTAACCTCGATCCTCCCCCTCTCCTCCTCCTCGAACCTGGATCCTCTTCCTCATCCTCCTCGAACCTCGTCTCTCCTCCTCCTCCTCCTCCTCCTCCTCCGCCCCGAAACTCGATCCTCGAACATCGATCCTCGCGCCTCCTCTTTGTCCTTGCCGGCATCCTTGTTTCTCCCCATCCTCAACCCTCCTCCGCCCCTCCTCCACCGAACCTCGATCCCCGAACCTCAGGGCGTGATTTACCTCCCCCGCTTTCGCTTCCAGGCAAAACCAAGTCATACCACGCGCCTCCTCGTCAAGAGGCCTGACCAGTACGGCTGCAATTTAGCGTCGCTTGGTATCTCTTGGAAGCGAGGGTGGTCAAAAGCGAGGTAGGTTTGTTTGCGCCCTAGAACCCCGATGCTCCTCCTCTCCTGGTTCTCCACAGAATAAGAGTGGCCGGGCGGCCACTGCCGCGCGCAGGGAATGGCCGCCAGCAGGGCCCGGGAGTGGCAGCCCGGGCCCCCCGTCGCGCGCTGCGCTCGCGGGGGCGCCGACGATGCGCGGGCCTCGAAAGGAATGAGCTCCGCATCGTCCTCGTCCGGCTCGTCACAGTTCGCCAGCATCAGGTGCAATCACAATCATCCATGACCATCACTATCCTCATCACCACCGCCGTCATCGTCATCGTTCTCTTCATCGTCTCCGTCACCATCATCCATCCTCATCACAAACATCATATTCGTCAGCATCACCATCATCATCAAGTCATCATTAACACCGTCAACATTGTGATCACCATCATCATATTTATCACCATCACCATCTTCATCACCACCATCAATTTCATCATCACCACCATCATCACCACCATCATCATTCTCACAACCATCATCATCATCATCATCAGCCGCATCCACATCAGCATCATCATCAGCATCATCATCACCATCACCATTCCCATCATCATCATCATCATCATCATCATCATCATCATCATCATCATCACAATGATCGCCATCACCATCATCATCAGTATCAGCACCATCGCCATCACCATCACCATCATCATCATCATCATCATCATCGTCATCATCGTTACCATCAGCAGCGTCATCATTATGATCAACATCATCCTCGTGATCATCATCACCATCGCCATCACTCCCACCATCACTCTCATCATCACCACCACCGTCACCGCCCGTCACCGTCACCATCACACTCTTCACCACCATCTTCACCACCACCGACACCACACCACCATACTCATCATCACCATCATCACCGCCCTGCCCCACTCCGTCTCCGCCCTCCTTGACCCGCGCAGGTGGTGGCTGCGGATGCGCAGCCGACTGCAGGCATCGCCATGCAGCATTTGCACTGGGCCCGGATTGCCCCTCCCCGTTCGCCGTCCCCATCCTCGGGGACTGACGTGGCTGCCGCCACCGCGTGCGCCCCCTGGCGCGCCGGCCGCCCGGGAGCCGAGGAGATGCCAGCACGGGCCGAGGCGTGCGGATTGGCGACGGGCCCTGCTGCCGTGCAGTCGGCGCGCGCTCCGTCGCCCCGTGGAGCGGCAGTGCCTTCTTGTTCCCGCGGGGGCCTTTCCCCGATCTGTCGCCCGCGCGCCAGATCGAGATGGCGGAGGAAGCGGGAGGCGGGGAGGAAGCTTTCCTCCCTCTGCCACAAGTGCGCCTCGCTCCATGACCTCTCCCTGCCCTCCTCCCTTCCTGCTCCTCGCTCTTCGTTCGTTCTCCTGCCCCCCCAGCCAGTCACTTGGTGCCGATCCACTCTGGATCGAATGAGCTGGCTTCGAGCTGCGTGGCTCAGGAGCACACAAGCTGCTCGTCTCGACGCCCATCGGTTACCGCGCTTCGTCCCCTCATTCTGTGCCCGAGGTTTCCGACGTCTGGAAACTGGCAAGGCGGAGTTTGTTTGCATGGTTCTCTGCCTGCTGGGGCGAGGACGGTCAAACACCAAAGCCAAGATCTGGCAAGACTCAGTTGTCTGGGAAGGGGTCGGAAGCTCGTGAGATCGCTCCAGAGCGTTCCGAAACGCTCTCGACCGGCCGCGGCGCCTGATGCATCCGTCAGACCCGTCGGCTCTGAGAGATTCCCATCCCGACTGTGTCTTCTCCCTGCGGTCGTTCTACAGTCAACCATGATAGCAAGGATGGGGCAACTTCCCAAGGCCACCCTTGCATCCTTGCCCCTTCGGCATTCGGTATCCTTCGGCAGTCTGCTGTGCTCCGCACGGAACACGTCAACATGGCGTTCCAAGCCTCGGATCGAGCGAGGGGGGAAGTGAGAAGGGGCGGGCCTTCTGAGAAGGCTCAGAAGTCCCCAGGACTTCTGAGAAGTTTTCTAAACCTTCCCCGAAGACAGAAACAACATCTCAGAAGGCGCGTGGACTTCTGAGAAGTCCCGCCGCCTTCTGAGGAGGCCTTCTCCTTCTCATTTCCCCCACTCGCTCGCCGCCGAAAGGCCCTTGCATCCTCACCGCGCATCCTTACTCTCCTGGTCGAGTGCATCGAGAGCTCGCGGGTGAAAAGGAGCTGACCCGGGGTGCGCTCTGGCCAGAGAGTCTTGAGAGGAACCCGGCCGTGGCGACGGGAGGCCTCCTGGGCCCAAGCAGGGCCACGAGCCTCGAAACGCCTCGGGCCATCTAGCAGGCCGCGTTTTCCTTGTCCGGGGGGGAGGTCAGAGGAGGAAAGGCACCCATGCCTCTACCCTTCGGCCGCTTTCCCCTTGTTGGGCCTCCTCGGAGGATCTCGTCGCCACCGCTGGATTCGCCTCGAAGTTCTCGTCAGAGCGCACCCATGGCGAGGCCGGGGAGTAGCGGTATTGGTACACCTTAGGCGATGCTTAGGAAAACTTAAATTTTTGGCCAGGGTCTCGATTATTCTTAATGTTTCAACGTAAATCCTAAGATTGTAATAGAAATTTTGGGTTTTTAGTCAAGTTCTGAGACCATGAATTTCTTAACCCATGATTTCTTAACCATTTCGCAAGGTGTACCATTTGGTTTCTCCAGTGTGGGGGGGGTGGGGGGCAGGTGTCGGAGGTCTGGCGCCGAAGCCGCCCCGGTCGCGATGGCGTGGCAGGCCCGCCAGCTGCTTGCGGGCGCGTTCCCGCTGCTCGTCAGCCCGCCGAAGGCGGATGCGGCAGGCCGTCGGGGATACCCGCAACGCACGGCCAGTCCGCGCCGTTCGAAGAAGAAGAAGAAACGCCACAAACATTTATTTTTTGTTCTCCGCGCGAATTTCTTGCATCTGCGCTGGCCCCCCCCCCCCCGGCGACGCTTCCGGCGCCGCACCTGGCGCGCTCCGCGCGCCAGGGAGGGGGTCCAGCGCAGGTCCAAGAAATCCGCGCGGAGCGCCAACAGTTTGTTTTCATTGAGTTTTTTCTTATCCTAGTCGTGCCGACTCGGCGGCGACCCCAGCGCGGGCGTTCGAGGTTGAACGCCAGCCACGCGCAGAGGGGGGCAGGGGGAGGGGGGACGGCTTCTGAGCAGCACCATTGCTTCTGAGAAGGCGCGGGTCTTGTCTCTAGATGTAAGGCCGGTACCTTCTAAGACGCAGTCTCGTTCTAAGAAGCGTTCCCCCCTCCCCCTACCCCGCTGTGCGCGCCGTCTAACGCCGCCAGTGGCCCGGAGTCGGCCAACATGGGACGACCTGGCGATCGAAAAGCAGCCGATCGTCGTTCCAGGTTGAGCGATCTGCGCCATGTCAGAAACCACCGCGCCGGTTGTCACAACACTGACCCACCGTAGAGGTGGCCAAGCAGCATAAACATACATGTGCGGCGCTCCGCGCGGATGTATTGGATCGGCCCTGGGTCTCCTTGGCGACGCCTCCGGCGCCGGCCCTCGCGCGCTCCGTGCGCCAGGGAGGGTGGGTCCAGCGCCGATCCCAGGAATCCGCGCGGTCTTCCGACAGTTTATGTTTATGCGCTTTTTCATCCTCTGGTTTACTCGGGGGCCCCAAGGTTTGCACCAACACCAATATCGGCGGTTGCCTCCACCGAGGGAAGGTGATCCCGATCTCGGTAGTAGTGTTACTATTCGGGCTTCTGAGGTTGCCGAAGTATCTGATTGCGGTCGGCCTATCCCGACACCGTGCCTGGGCTGTGGTTGAGAGGCCTTTTGGATGCACATGGGAAGACTCTGGGGACCTTTACAGGGGTCTTGGTGGCTTCGGAGGGCCCCTTGGGGCCTCTTGGGGCCTCTTGGAGCGCCTTGGGGGCCTCTTGAGGCCTCTTGGGGCGTCTTGCTGGAGCCTCGGGAGCCTCTGGGGGACTCTTGGGCCCATCTTGGGGCGGAGGGTTCGAGTTGTCCTATTGTGTTCTCGTTCTTGGGCCCCTCTTGGGGCCTCTTGGGTGACTCGGCCGTCTTGGGAGCCTCTTGGGCCGTCTTGGGGCCGTCTTGGGGCGTCTCGGGCCTTTTTGCCAGCGCTGGAAGCTAACAAAAAAACTAGAACGCTAACTAACATCTGTCAGCAAGCTAAGGGGAATCAGTAAAGGTTGCCTCTTGGGCTCTTTTTGGGATGCTCTTGGGGCCCCCTTGGAGCTTCTTGGGGGCCTCTTTGGCCGTCTTGAAACTCTAAAGTGAGCTGGGTGTTTTGCATGTGAGTGGGAACGAGCGTGCATCCGCGGTTGCTTGGCTCAAAACTGCCGGCCGCCCAGATCTGACTACACCTCAGCGCGAGGTGTACTTTTTGCCATCGATGCCAAAATTGCTTGAGATGGCTCGCCTCCTACTACTGGGACTATCGTTGCTACGGTACAACATAGCTGGAGCAAGGCTTCGCCTAAGGCGAAGCTGCTGGTTGGGTCCCCCAACCTTTTTTTTTTTTGTTCTTTCCAACATGTAGCGGAGTTGGCCTCTGGTTGTCAGTTCTAGTTCTACTCTTCAGCATCCACGGCAGTATCTGGTGGACTACTGACGTGGTGAAATATCAGGGTGCAGTGGCTTTGCGCGGAGGAATGTATATAACTACGCAACATAGCAAGGCCATTTGCAGTGACACTTCTGCCTACGCGGAGGCCTCTTACTTGCGTCCTACATCCCTGCGCGACTACACTCCTGAAGTCCACCCACCTACTCCAAGTGGAGTCTTCTTCGAATACATAATGCATGGAAACATGCGATACGACATTGTGCCGCTTCCACCCCCGCGCAGGCTTACGACCACATACCGCAAACCCCAACCGACTACATCCGACTACGACCTGCGAGGCCATTGGATTGGTATTCTCATTTTTGGGCTAACATGGGTCGCTATCGGGTGTGCGGTAGGACAAATGCGTGGCGTACAACACAAGAACGACCGGCCTCCATTGAGACCCGTCCGGTCAAGTACCTTACCGCGAATTCGTCCGCGAGGTGTATGCCAAGATCAACGTGACCACAAGCAACATGGCGCCCTCCCAACAAGCTGCAGCTTTGCAGCGAGGCTTGGGGGGCCTCGCACGGCCCATAGCCATGAGAGTTCCCCCAGCAGTTATAAATGTCGGCGTGAACATAGGTGGCCGCCATGCCGATGGCGCCACCTACCACCTACATCATGTTCCTTTTTAAGTGCGAAGTTTGAGAACCTACAAGAGGAACGCCAACTCAACTCTGGTACAGCTCTGATTG